ATAGAGTTGTTTGTAGTAATCTCTGATGGTAGTTTGTATTTCTGAGGAATTGGTGGTGATATCCCGTTTATCTTTTTTTTTTGCATCTCTTTAATTCTCTCTCTTTTATTAGTCTGGCTAGTGGTCTATATTGTTGATCTTTTCAAACAAACCAGCTCCTAGACTGATTTTTTTTGAAGGGTTTTTTTTGTGTCTCTGTCTCCTTCAGTTCTGCTCTGATTTTATTTGTCGTCTCCTAGCTTTTGAGTTTTTTTGATCTTGCTCCTCTAGCTCTTTAAATTTTGATGATAGGGTGTTGATTTTAGATCTTTTCTCGATTCTCATGTGGGTATTTATTGCTATAAATTTCCCTCTAGACACTTCTTTAAATGTGTCCCAGAGATTTTGGTATGATGTGTCTTCATTCTTGTTGGTTTCAAAGAACATCTTTATTTTTGCCCTCATTTCATTGTTTATCCAGTTGTCATTCAGGAGCAACAAACTTCTGTTTTTAAAAATTAGATCTGTTTATGTTCTGTATTTCATTGATTTTTGATTTCATCTTTAGTACTTCCTTTTGGTTACTCTATTGTTCTTTTTTACCCAAGTCATTTTCAAAAATCTATTTCACTGAAAATAGATAGGTGTTTTTGAGTTGGGATCTCCCTGGTCACTCAGGCTGGAATGCAGTTGTGCAGTCATGGCTCACTGCAGCATCAAACTCATGGGCTCCAAGTGATCCTCCTATCTCAGCCTCTGGAGTGGCTGGGACTACAGGTGTATGCAACCACACCTGGCTAATTTTTTTTTAAATTTTATGTTTTAATTTTTATTTTTTTGAGATGGAGTTTCACTCTTGTTGTCCAGGCTGGAGTGCAATGGCACAATCTTGGCTCGCTGCAATCGCCACCTCCTGGGTTTCAGCAGCTCTCCTGCCTCAGCCTCCCGACTAGCTGCGATTACAGGCATGTGCCACCACCCCTAGCTAATTTTGTGTTTTTAGTACAGACAGGGTTTCTCCATGTCGGTCAGGCTGTTCTTTAACTCCTGACCTCAGGTGATCAGCCCACCTCGGCCTCCCAAAAGTGCTGGGATTACAGGTGTGAGCTACCATGTCTGGCCCCACCTGGCTAATTTTCAAAAAAGTTTTATGTAGAGATGTCATCTTGCTGTATTGCCCTGAAGTGATCTTCCTGCCTTGGCCTCCCAAAATGTTAGGATTACAGGCATAAGCTGTTGCACCTAACCCCCACAAAAATTTAGTGTTATGAATTTTCCTCTTATTACTGTTTTGCATATATCTAACAGTTCCTGTTTTTAAAAAATTCTGTAATTTGTTTGTACTTCCTCTTTCACTGAAGAGTCTTTAATAGAAGACCTTTTAATTTCCAGAGGAAAGCTGTTTTAATAATTTCAACAATTCAGTTTTAGTGAATTGTGATCAATGTTATTTATTTATAATTTTATACAACTTTCCAATATTTGTGTGACCTCTAGTACCTGATTTTCTAAGTGTTTGATGCTCACTTGAGAAGGTATATTTTGTATTGTCAGTATATAAAGTTTTGGTATATACAGGTTGAGCATCCCTCCCTGAAAATCTGAAATCCAAAACTTTTTGAGCACCAACTTGATGCCACAAAAAGACAGTTCTGCCAGCCATGGTGGCTCATACCTGTAATGCTCACGTTTTGGGAGGCCAAAGCAAAGAATCACTTGGGGCCAGGAGTTTGGGACCACCCTGGGCAGTATAGTGAGACCTTGCCTCTACAAAAACTTAAAAAATTACCCAGGCATCGTGGCTCATGCCTGTAGTCCAAGCTGTTCAGGAGGGAGGACTGCCTGAGCCTAGGCATTGTAGACTGCAGTGAGCTATAATTGCACCACTGCACTCCAGCCACAGTGACAGAGTGAAAGCATGTCTTAAAAAAGAGGAAAATTCCACACCTGATCTCATATGACAGGTCATAGTAAAACACAGGCGCACAACACAATTGATTCCACATCCCTGGGGAAAGAAAACCTTTCCAGCCTGTTTCATTTGTAACATACCTTCGCACACACCCAGATTCTCCATGCATGTATATCTGTAGAGAGTAATAAAATGGTATGTGTGTAGGCTGCATATGCCAGTGGCAGGTTTCCCATAATGCCTCATGTGAAGCCGACCTAGGTGCATTACAGTTTTGTTTTTTTGCTTATTCTCTGTTCTGTGGTGTCAAGATACTGTTTAAAATGCCAAAAAGGCCTGCATGATACCTGTAGGGTAATTCAAGTATTCCAAAACCTGAAACACCTCTGGTCTTAAGCATTTCAAATAAGAAATACTCAACCTGTATCCACATGATGTACGTCATTGGTCATTTTGTTTAAGGCATCCTCTATCATCACTTTTTGCTCAATTGATGTGTCTTGTACTGAGTGGAATATTGGAGTCTCTTATTTGTGTGTTTATATCTTCTATACATCTTCTGTCGTTTTCCTTATAAAGTAGTTGCCATGTTATCTGGTGCACAGGTACTCAAAATTTTTGTCTTCATTGTCAATTGTGACTTTTAGTATTAAAAAGTGCCCCATTTATATTTAATGCTTTTGCCTTGAATTCTATTTTTTCAGAAGATAGGTCTTTTAAACAATTTCCACTTGACTAAAATACATTTGTTCATACCTTTATTTACCCTTTCTAAATCTCTCCGTATTCAAGAAACATCCAGTATGTGATTTTTATTACTCACATATTTGGCCTCAGCTGTCACAATATTTTACAATTATATGTGTTGCTTTATTATATTCTTTTTTTCTATGATGTATCTTCTGTGCTCTGTAAAACATTTATTTTCTGGCATTTATGAATATTTATATTTGTTTTAATCCTCTGTTATTTTACTTGAACCTGGAGCGGGAGGTTGCAGTGAGCAGTAATTGTGCCACTGCACTCCAGCCTGGGCCACAGAGCTAGACTCTTTCTCAAAAAAAAAAATGTTTTGACTCCCATCAATTAGCCTATACAACAGCAAGCTTATTCTACTTTCCTCTTTCCCTCTTCCACTTTGCATCCAATTTTTGTTACAACATGTAACATTTGTACATTTGTCTTACACCTTCACTTTAGTATTTGTTTTTGTAATACATTTGGATATATTAAAGTCCTCACTATAATAAGTTATTTCTGCCAGGTCTGGTGTGGCTCATTCTTGTAATCTCAGCACTTTGGGAGGTTGAGGCAGGAGGATGGGTTAAGGCCAGGTGCTCAGCCTGGGCAATATGGGGAGACCCCATCTCTACCAAAAAAAAAGGCTGGGCATGGTGGCTCACGTTTGTATCCCAGCACTTTTGGAGCTGAGGTGGGTGGATCGTGAGGTTAGGAGCTCCAGACCAGCCTGACCAACATGGTGAAACCCCGGTACAAGAATTAGCTGGGATTGGTGGCATGCACCTGTAATCAATCCCAGCTACTCGGGAGGCTGAGGCAGGAGAATCACTTGAACCCTGGAGACAGAAGTTGCAGTGAGCCGAGATAGTGCCACTGCTCTCCAGCCTGGGCGACAGAGTGAGACTCTTGGGTTCAAGAGTCTTATTTTGCATTTTTAGTAGAGACGGGGTTTTTCCATGTTGGTCAGGCTGGTCTCAAATTCCCCATCACGAGTGATCCACCCGCCCCGACTAAATTGCTGGGATTACAGGCGTTGAGCCACTGCCCCGACCCAATTTTCTTCATTTCTAAGGTAATTTTGCCTTTTTCCCTCACTTGTTTTTGAGTACAGTTCTTTTAATTCTTCCTTCTAGTAAGAATTTCTGATTCATGGTGGAGTTTTAAATATCCCCATATGTTTTCGTGTATGTATTTATAGTTGGAGTATAGTCATAACGTTTTCTTCTGCTTGTTGGTGTTTTTTTTTTTTTTTTTTTNTTTTTTGGTAGTAACTGTATGGATTTGTTTCTTTCCTCATTTTTGTGCTGTTTTGTATGATTTCTAGCAATGGCTTCTTTTTCTGCCAGTGTAAAGTCCAGATTCTTTAGTAAGTTTGAGTTGGTGTGTATGAATAATATATATTCATACAGGACCCTGTATGAATATATATTATTTTGATTTTTTATTGTTTTGATTTTTCTTACAGGACCCTGAATTTTCTTTTGCTTCTTTTCACCTTCACCACCCAAGTGCCAAATGATTCCTCTCCCTTTTCAGTTTATTTCCTCCTGAGCTTTGCTTTTGAAGACTGTTAGTTCAATAATGTGTACTTTTAAGTCCCTGCCCTGTAAACCTTTGACTGGACACTATAGTAGTACTTTCAGATTTAGGGTGGGCTTACTTGGCCTGCATTTGCCAGAAAGCCTTGCAGCATTAGCAGGGTGGGCACAAGTATGTGAGATTGCTCCCCAAGATTTATAAATTTATGTTTATTGCAAATGTGGGTATGCTCTATTTTCAAGTTAGGCTGAGGGTGTGTTTTGGTTTAGTTTTATCTGTTTTAGTTTTAGTTTGCCACTGTCATCAGTTTCCTTGGAAGTCCCCAGTGATAACTAAATTTTCAGAACTGAGCAGTTATTTTCCAGCTTGAAGGGACAAACTAGTAAAACATGTTTTAAGGCGTTAACATGATCAACTCTGAAAATTACAAACTCCATTCATAATGACAGTCATATCAGTACTGTTGTTAGCACTTTGCAGTTTTGCTAACACTTCCATATGCTTTTTCTAAGGTAATCCCCTCAAAAAAATGTGTTTCACAGATGAATAAATTGTGATTTAGATTAATTCCTGATGCCATGCAGCAATTAAGTGACAGGACCAACTTAAAACTAAGGCATTCTCATTTAGACTCTGTCTTTTCTGCACTACCTCATTATTTAAGCCTGTTGATTCACACTGAGTGTTCAAACTGGTAAACCTCCATTAGGTTTATAGTGAGTATACTTAGAGTCATAGAGGCATGAACCTTTATGAAATCTGGTTTGGATTGTGGGTTATTTTATCCTTTTCAGAAGACTAACTGTTCTTTCTTCCTTCTGCCTTATAGGACCAAGCCATATGTCCTTCTATGTTCGAGCCCACAAAGGGTCAACACTTTCTCAGTGGTCTCTTGGCAATGGCACCCCAGTCACAAGTAAAGGAGGAGACTACTTTGTCTTTTACTCCCATGGACTCAAGGCCTCTGCATGGCAGTTCTGGATAGAAGTGCAGGTGCACATTTCCCAGCATTGCTTGTTCCATTGATTAGGTTCCCAGGTGGTATTTAGCAAGAACCTTGGGTTCAGTATTCTGGCTTCCAAGAACTGAAGAACTAATTGATTTTCTTTGGCAGGTCTCTGAAGAACATCCCGAAGGAATGGTCACTGTGGCCATTGCTGCCCACTATCTATCTGGGGAAGACAAGAGATCCCCTCAGCTGGATGCTCTGAAGGAGAAGTTTCCAGATTGGACATTTCCCTCTGCCTGGGTGTGCACCTACGACCTCTTTGTGTTTTAATCCTGTGGATGAGCTCTAAGTACATGCCCAGTGGATACACCATGTGACATGGTTTCTCCCTATGTTATGTGGATGTTTGTAATGTAAGTCAATGAATTTTAATGAGCATATGTTCAAAGAGCTTTCTGGGTTAACACTTTTCAGGGCCAAGCACTATAAGGGTTAAGCTGTGGCACAATGATGCATGGCCTGTTGACACTTGAAAATGCATTTTCTGGCATGTAAGCACATGTGGGTACTGCCACTACACACACGTTATTTTATGTGATCTTAAGGACAAAAGCCAACAAACCACTTCAATAGCCGCCCCTTTAGGATCAAGAAAGAAGTACACTGTCAGACAATCGTTAATGAGATAAAAGTGGTTTCCAATTTAAGCCCCAAGACCATTTGTCGTATTAGTAGATGGTTGGTGAAATATCACTCACTGGGGTAATGATTCCCCTTGAGACTGTAACTCTGTGTGGGTCACTGAAGTGATTGCCGTAGGGCTGGGGGAGAAGCATTGCACTATTGAGGACGTAGCCTGTGCTTAGCTGTTTCTTCAGGCAGCCTCTCGAGTGTGCTTTGTGTCTCTATACTGAGGCCTGGACCCCAAGCTGAGCTGGTGACTCACTGTCCTGACAAGTGGACACTCAGATACATTGCTATGCTGTTTTCCTCTGAAACATGTCTGTTACCTCTCTCCATCTTACCAATTTGAAAACAAGAATATTTGGCCATATAGCCCTCTCGTTTTTGTAGGTTCTTTTGGTTCCGAATATTGTGTGTGCAAGTATGTGACCTTAACTTACTTCCTCAGAGCACTGACCTGCCACCTGGGCTATTCTGGGGTAGAAGGCAGCCTGGGAGTAGTGGGCATTTTATAAATATTTATTCTTTTGTTTCATACGAGTCTTGTGTTATACAAGCTTAATCCTTTATGGCATAATCTTATGTCTTCTTGTCTTCCAGCCAGTTGAATAGATTTTCTCAGTAACTTACTATCCAGCAGGCTGGCTTTCCTGAGACTTGAGGTTGTGGCTTATACTGGAGTAAGACCGCTGTACCTGTAGGTGGTTCAGATCCTGCATAATGGCAGCATGAGGACTTAAAGGTGGTTTTCATTTTGAAGATGGCTGTGTAGCTTGTAAGGTATATCATAGCAGTACCTCTCATGGCTTTTTTGGTCCAGCAGTGAGGGGGTTCATGAGATCAGTGGTAAACTGTGCAAGCTTTCATTTTACCATTAGGAAATGTAAAATGTTGGAAGGCACAGTTAAAACAAAAAGGGGTAGCTAGATTTATCTTGGATGATGGAGGAAATGAGAGAGGAATGCTCTTGAAAGGTGGCCTGTGGATCTATTTGAATAGAAAGAGCACAGTAAGTGTGCAATGCAGGAGGAAAACGTCTTTAGGCTGCTTGTCTAATGTGTATGATGTGCTTTTAAAATCCTGCTCCTCCTTGCCTGCCCAATCTGTGACTCCCTAAAAACTAACTGGGGCCATGTAAATAGCAGGGCTGCAGCCAGAGCTGAATGATAACACGTTGGGCTGTCACATGCATCAGCACTGCACACTGGAGTCATTGCTTTTTCTGGACTTTGTAGAAATCGGTCTCAAGTGCTTCAAGAGTATGGCTCTTGCTACTTTTATCTGTCAGGTAGCATATAAGGTTTGTAGGGTTTATATCTTGTACAGAATCACAGTTGTGGAGAAAAAGTAATAATCTTTCAATGAATTTAAAATATAGGCCTATTTTGCATCCCCATGCTTAATCTGATACAATTAGTGTTCCCTGTGATTTACATCCACTTTGGAAAGGATGCCTTTACTGTTGTTCAGTAATAAATCACTGTTTTTCTTTTGCCTTTGGGTTATTTCCCTGTGTAAACCATTGTCTTTGTTTTGGTTTTCTTTAGCATTATGAAGCTTTGGTATTGTACAAGGTCAATAATAAGATGCTCACACTAGTCTCAGGGCTTGTGTAACATTCTGGGAGGTTGTTTTAATGCCAGAAATGGTCAAGTAATTATCGAAAGTATTTATGGCTCTGTTAAGCACACAGTCTGTCACATTGGAAGATGCTGAGATTAAATTTTTTCTTAAAGAATATCTGATCATTTCATTTCTAAAAGAGTCTTTTCAAGCTGGAACACAGTCACTAACAAATGCATTATTTTCTGCAGAATTTAAATGTTAGTAGTACAGTACTGCTTATTCAGGGAAAATGTGTGAAGAATTATGATTTCACAGTAGTTCGTTCTTGTGTTTGACCTAAGAATGACTGTCAAATGAAGTGTTTGTTTCTACAGTTTAGTATATACAAACAAGCATGATAGGATTCTTAAAGATATTACTACTGAGGGAGCCACAAGCCAGCCTGCTGACTCAGGAAGCTGTAGGAGTGTTTGTCAATTTCTTATCACTGGTTTACTGACTTACTGAGGATTAATTAATTGTTGCCTTACAATGTTACTGAAATAAACTTTTTAATATACTGGTTGGTATCTTTTTAACAGACAAACAGATATGTGTTCTTATGTATCCCCCTGTTTTCAAGGGTTATTCCATGTCCACAGAAACGACCTAGATGGCTCATGAGAACAAGTAACATGGAAATGTTTTCTTCAGTTGGAATCCCTTATCTTGGAATGAAATGATACTTGTAAATTTCACAGAATTATTAGGTAACTATTGAGCTTAAGCATATGTAGCAGTTTTAAATCATCCCCATTAGCAAAAAATATCAAAGGGCAAAGGGTGTTCTTTTAGGGGTGCGGGGAGTAAGGGTAGGACGGATGCTGTAAACTTTGGGAGGCCGAGGTGGGGAGATCACTTAAGCCAAGTAGTTTGAGACTGGCCTGGACAGCATGGCAAAACCCTGTCTCTACTAAAAACACAAAAATTAGCAGGGTATGGTGGTGTATGTTTGTGGACCCAGCTACTAGAGAAACTGAGGTGGGAGGATGGCTTACGCTCAGGAGATTGAGGCTGCAGCAAACCATGATTGTGCCATTGCCTTCCAGCCTGGGTAACAGAGCAAAACTCTTTCGAAACATCCAAAATTAGTGTAATGTACCATATTAATAAAGGACAAAACCCACGTCACTATATCAATAGATGCAATGTATGTTTGTTGAGTGTTTTCATCATGGAAATCCAAAACCCTTCCATGATGAAAACACTCAACAAACATACATTGCATCTATTGAAACAGTCACGTGGGTTTGTCTTTATTAAAGACCAACTATACATAAGGGAACATCCTCAACCAGATAAAGGCTATCTATGAAAAACCCACAGCTAGCATCATAATTAGTGATGAAAGCAAGATTCCTCCTAATATCAGAAGACAACATGGATGTCCACTATTGCCATTTAATAAAGCATTGTACTGGTGGCTCTATCCAGGACAGTTTGTCAGGAGAAAGAAAAGGCATCCAGATGGAAAAGGCAGAGTTTAAACTATCTCTGGTTGCAAACAACATGACCGTCAATACAGAAAAGCCTAAGTAATCCATGAAAAAGAAAAGTTCAGTGTTGCATGATGCAATGTCAATATACAGAAACAACTGTATTTATATATGCAATCCAAAACCAGAAAATTCCACTTTTTTACAATAGCATTAATAAAATACTTAGGAATAAATATAATAAAAGTATGAGACTTACTAAAAATTCACTGTTAAAAGACATTAAAAACCCAATAAATGGAAAGACATCTCATGTTCATGGACTGGAAGGCTTAATATGGCAATATTTTCCACATTGCTTGATGTCATGAATACAGTCCTTATCAAAATCTCAAATGCCTTTAGTTTAGGAGAGAAATTGATAACCGGATCCTAAAATTCATACGGAAATAGAAAGGAACTAGATTAGCCAAAACAGCCTAGAAAAAACAAACTTAGGACTCCCACGTTCAAAATTTCCTGCAAAGCAACAGAAATCAAGGCAATGTGGTATGGGCATAAGAAGAGATTACAGATCATCATAATACAATTAAGAGTCTATGAATAAACTCATATAGCTATACTTGATTGATTTTTGACTGGGAAAAAAATCTTTTCAATAAATGGTGCTCTGACAGTAGCCACATGTTAGAAGAATGAAATCGTATCTTTTATATCATATACAAAACTGGAGATGCAACTATAAAACTCTTAAAACTTAGGCATAAATATTCATAACACTGGATGAGGCACAAGCAACCAAAGAAAAAAAAGTTTGACTTAATCAAAATGAAAGACTGTGTTTCAAAGGACACTATCAAGAAAGTGAAATGAAAGACTGTGTGATTGTAATCACATGGTGACGACAATCAGAACCTAAATCAGACTTCTGTTGTATTCTTACCAATTTGTTTTTTAGCAGTATTAATGGGTACATTTTAGAGTCTTCTATTTTGTGTGGAATTTTATCTTCCTTTTCAAATGCTGTAATTAACATCATTAAAAAAAAAAAAAAAAAAAAATATTTGACAAGAATAATTGGAAATTTCTGCATATATTATAAAAAAATAAAATTGTAGAAAATAAAAAAAAAAAAAAAACAAAACCTTGAATATTGAAGCCTAGGGAAAAAAAGTGAAAAGAAAGCCAACAGAATGAGGAAATATCTGCAATTTATATATATATATATAATAGTATTTAGAACATAAAGAACTCCAGCAAATGAATAATGAAATGACATAAGTAGACATTTTTCTTCAAAGATATACAAATGGCTAATAATCCTACGAGAAGATGTACATTAGCCATTAGGAAAATGAAAATCCCTATGATGAGATACCACTTCATATACAACTTTGAATGGCTACAGCCAAACTAACAAACAATAACATGTTTTGGTGCCAAGTAAGACAGAAGTCCACATACTGTATGTTTCCATTTAGATGAAATGTCCAGAATAGGCAAATCCATGGAGACAAAGCATATTTAGGAAAATGGTAAAAAGTGAAAGTAATTTTTAATCCCACTTATTAGAAATGACACCTAGGTTCCTCTATACTTACATAAAATTTTGCTTGCTTCGTGGGGTATCTTACGGTATACATAATTTTCTGTCATTTCTTCATTATACTTTGAACATTTTCCGTGTCATCGATATGGACTGTTTCCACCAATAGATTACTGTTAGGCATCTAGAATGTTGCCAACTCTTGACGTTCCCATTCTAAATCTACATACAAACAAATATTTTAAATAAAGTAGTCTGAATTTCTAGTTACTTCGTAAGGAAAATTCTAAGAAACAGAATTATATAATGAAAAGATGACTTTCATGGCTTTTGTTGTTAACCTGAGATGATGAATAAACAAAACTTTTTGTAATGGTTTTATTGCCCTTTACAAAGTGGGGAAAAATACACATTACAGAAATAGCAGCAACTTTAATTACAAAGCAAAGGTTGATTTTATTCCCATACCCCAATGACTTCCTGTTTTGGTTTCAGCAAATAACTTATTAATAAATGCATCTAGTAAACCTCAAATAATTATACTGAATATTTAAATTCATTGGCTAAAATTATGGCTTAAACAGTTGATATGTGAACCAAGCAACACAACAAAATAAAAATGGAGTTGTAAAAATTAAATTATGTAACAAATAAATTACCAAATTTTCTGTAAACCTGCCAAATTTCTTGCTGTGGGACCTATTTCTATTAGTTGAAAAAGGAATATTTTATTTAAAAAAAAAAGATTCATGGCCTAACCCACAGGAATACAGTTAACTTACTGGTGCCCTGCTTTCAAGAATGTGAGATGAACTCAGTAGCACAGTGTTTTATTTAAGATATTTGAGAAGATCACAGCTCTTTATAATGGTAAATCATTTTTATTGACTGAATATTCACACCAAACACAAAAGCAATGCTGGTTCTTCTCCTTAATGGACTACAACAGGAGAAGAGAGTTCAGTTTCTGGCTGGGCTGCATGTACTCACATGCAAAACATTATCTTAAGATTCAGGGAAAGGTGGTTTGAAACAAAAACTTAAATAAAAATAGCACCAGAAGGACCAGGTACCAATAATCACATACTCCACCCATTTGGGAGTTTTATTTTGTGAAATTATTGCACTTGTAATGTAAAAGTAAATGACAGGATATTACCCAACTCAGTAATTTTAAATACTTTGAAGAATTCTGAACTAAGCAGTTTCAAAACGGTTTTGAGTTTTTCTTCAAAGGAAACCTGGTCAAGACAACTAAATCTAGCCATTTACTTTAAAAAGCAAGGAGACAGGACCAAGTTTTGTTTCTAAACTACAATTGCACTATGAAAAAAGGGGTTGTTTTAGATAGTGGTACGAATTTGGTCCACATCGAATACATCGTTATTATAAAAATAAACAAGTTTTTTGTAAAAAATAACATTGCATTCCTTGTTCAAATTGCACAGTACAAACAAGCTGTCTAAATTAATACTGTTATAAGTTAATTAGAATTACATACAGTGGATGTGTGTGTTTAGTCTAAAGCAATTAAGGAGTATGCAGTTCTGTTTTCATAATGTATGAAAACAAATTTAAGTCATTTCTAGAAGTACATAAAATATTTTAAGTTTACAATGAAGAATGCATTCTTTACATACTAATTTTTAGTAGCTGTGATAATACAGGATTCAGCAGTCTATTTACATAGAAGTCCATCTTTATTCAATTTACAAAAGCAATAAATAAAACTACATTAATTTGCACAAAACCTGCTGCATTTCATGATCAGTGTGATCATTTCTATTACTTCATGACCAACCCAAAAAAATCTGTCTTCCTCAACTTGCAAAGAGGAGCAAGCTCTATCTTTGTAGACATGCAGAATCCAGCATTAAAAGCTTACAAATTACAATACAAGCCCTAAAAATATGAACAGTGCCTTTGGGTATATCTACACAAGAGTATTCACAAAAAGATACTGTTCCTTAATATAAAATTGTTTAGTGGTATCTAACAGCATAATTGAGAAGAATCCCACAGACCTGTGCCCACACTGATCTAATGGGAATCAAGCTTGCTAAAACAAGCACATCAACTCACAGGTCAATAGCTTCCATCAATTCTGGACTGGGATTTAAGGGGCTAGTAAAGCCAAGGAGAATGTTTCTATCACACTGGCACATACTGTGCTCCAGGGTAGATATCTATTCAGGAGGACTGTTTAAGGAGTCCAGCGAGCTCTATCCAAGGGAGCAAACAGGTAGGTAGCTTAAGTACCTGATAAACTACAGCAAGCACCTTAGCATTTTTTTAAAAAAGCAGTCTGGACATATGCAGAACCAGGAAACATAAGAAGCTGTAAGTAGTGAAAAAGTAAGCTCACCTAGGACAAAACAATTCCTATGGTTTAAGAGCTACCAACCTCTGAGTAAAACCAAAATATTCCCATGTACATCTGTACAATATTTACTTTTCACTGCAGCTTAAAAATTTTTTATGAAAGATGCTTTATATCACATTTTTATGGAGTCAAAAAGATTTCTTAGACAAGAATTAGTTAAAATCTAGTAATACTTTACCAAAGAGTCTCTGAACTGAGTTCTCCTGTTAAATCAGCCAACTAGGTTACAACGTAGAGTTGCATGCTGCTGCTAATTAATACTGCCCCATTGTGATGGGAACCTCACTGTTGTTAGGACACAGAACAGTCGTAAGTCCCATCCTGAAAAGGTTCTTCCTCCTCTGCTTCAGCTGTGTCCTCCTCTTTCCGGCTGACCATACTGCTACTCCCGACTTCACCCTGGGGGATGCTTCCATGGCTGGAGGAGCCCCTGCTCTCCTCTGCCCGGGGGCTACTCTGTTCAGGAGTCTTACCCACAGTTATTGGCTGGAAGGCATCTGGCTGGACCTGCTCTTCTGTTATCTCACTGAGCTTCTGCAGTTGTGGCTTAATGATGTTTAAAAATGGCTTATATCCAGGACTATGTAGAGAAAAAAAACATGAGCTCATCTGCCATAATTGAAAAGGTTTGGTAGAATGTTACAGATAAACTCCCACTAAGCATTGATATGGTAAGGACAATGATAGATTATGAGGGGAGGGAGGAGGCAAAGAAGGTACGAAGGAAAGGCTTCTTGGGTGTCCTGCCCAACACAGAGGGGGCTGCATGTTGCATAAGCCTGCGGCTTAAGTTTCTAAGCACACTAGGGGTAAAGGCTGATGTTTTAGAACCAGTATTACAAATAAAAATTTTATTTTACAATTGAAAAGCCAAAAGTAGTTTAGACTCGAAAAAGGACCTTCAGACAACATCTAACCTAAAGCCATTTGGCAATTAAGGAAAACCAGATCCAAGTAAGGGAAGTAACTAGCCCTGAATATGCATATAACTGGTAATAAAGACAGGGCTAGAGACCAAGGCTCTGAACTGCCACCACAATTCTTATTTGGATTTGCTTGTTACTGCCAAGGAATGTTAAATTGACATGGACCTTAACTTTGAGACTTTTCAAGTAGACATTTTTAGATTATAGCCTCCATTTCCACAGGACTGCAAATCTGAAGTTCCAGTCTAATTCTAAGCTCATTTGCACTGCATCAATCTTAAGTCAGTGACATGCATTCACCAGTATAAATTATACACTGACTAACATAATAATGTATAATACACGAACCATAACTAAGCCTTAAGGTGAAAGGACAGAATTCACCAAGAGACAACAACCTAAAATATTAGATATAAAGATGGTAAAGCAGCACTTACCAGTCTGTAGATGCCCATCGGTCCACTGCATGTAGCCCTGTCTTTATGTTCTGTAACATCTCTCCATCTACCTCTGAAGACTGTGTAATAACCAAAATCTGATTGATTACTGAGGATTCTCTAAGAATCAGGCCTATAACAATGCACCAGTCCAGGCACCCTGCCTCCATGAAAATATGTAGCAAATACCTAAATAAAAGCAGAAACAAAATGATTTATGCTAAGGAGGATCTGTAAGATGCACAGAAGTGCAATGATTATTAGGAAAGTAGTCCCATACCTATATGCCCAAATACTCTGAGTGGGCATTCTGTGATTTCAAATAGACCAGAAACTCACCGAAGCTGGACCTGGGATTTATGAGGCCCTTTACTGGCCAACTCCATGGAAATGTGCTCCAGCTCTGACTGAGTTAAACTGAGTGTAGAGAAATTTTCATCCACCACTGTCCAATCTCCATCCACCATGGAGCTACTTTCGGTCAAGTCTGTGGCTGAACCAATACTGCATTCATCACCTGATGAAGAATTGCTAGAAGTTACAAACCAGCTTCTTGTAGAAAATATATTTTCCTTTAATTTTAAATATTAGTTGTTCCTCAGATGTTGATTTCTCAGGATCTTGAAATTAAAACATGAAACCCATGGCTAAAATTACCATGTGAACATAGAAGATATTTTTTAAAAATTAGATAACCAGACATTATGTGTCTTTAGATGAAAAAACATACTACCACCACCTATGAAGCAGTCTTCCCCACTTCCCTCAATAAAATCTGGCTAGAATTTGACCAAGTCTTTACAATCACCTACTAATTTACAGGAAATAAAGAGGAAACTGTTAAACTAAACGATGAAGATATAATAAGCAAAATCATTACTGTTGTAAACTCCACAAAATCAAATTTCTTCAATGAATAAACTGCAAGGAAGGGAAAAGGAGATGGTAGGGAACATCCACTTGAAAAGAGAATTAAGAACACAATCAATATGTGAACCTTATTTAAATCTTGACTCAACCTATAAAAAATTATGTTTATGAAATAATTGGAAATCTGAATACTTATTGAATATTTGATGGTATCAAGGAATTATCAAATTTTTATAGGGATAATAGTATTTTGGTCACAATTCTTAAAGAGTCCTTGTAGGAAAAATGCTGAAATATTTATAGATGATGTGTCATGGATTTTCTTCAGTTAATATAGGATGGGGGAAGTACGCTAAACAAATGTGGCCATTAGTGATGGAAGCTGAGTGATGGCCACATGGGGGACTGAGGGGAGCCCACTATATTATCTCTACTTTTTAATATATTTGAAATTATCTCATTCAAAGTTTTCTAAAACAAGTAATGGCACCACCTCACACCCATTAGGATGATTACTATCAAAAAACAGAAAGTGAGTGTTGGTGAGATGTGGGGAAATTAGAACCGTCATCCACTGCTGAGAATGTAAAATGGTGCATTGCTATGGGAAACATGGCGATTCCTCAAAAACATTACAAGCAGAATTACGATATCACCCAGCAGTCCCATTTCTGAATATGTATATGCCCAAAAGAACTGAAAAGAATCTCACAGAAATATTATATATATCCACATTCGTAGAATTCACAATAGCTAAAAGTAGAAGCAACGCAAGTTTCCATCAAATGAATACACACAATGTGGCATCTGCATACAAAGGAGTAACACATGCTCCAACATAGATGAACATGAGGACATTATGCTAAGTGAAATAAGCTGGTCACAAAAAGACAAACACTGTATGATTCCTTTATATGAAGTACCTAGAATACTCAAATTCAGAAAGAGAAAAAATAAAATGGTGGCTGTCAGTGGATGGGGGGAAGAACTGATGGGAAGTTGTTAATAAAGAACATATACGGAGTTTTCATTTTGAAAATGAAGAGTGTTTTGGAGGTTGACTGCAGAACAATGGGGTATCAACACTACAGACTGCTTAAAAATGATTAAGCTGATAAATTGTATATTCTGCCACAATTAGAAAAAAAAAAAACTAATGAGATCTGTAAGCCTCCTCACATAGAAGCTCAGTTAACAGTTATGACTGACTGATATTCAAACATTAGACAAATACCTGACCACTAAAAAAACTGCAAAAACTCTGACAAACTGCTGTTTAAGCTTCTATACTTTATAACCCTATACCAACATAAATTGCTTCAAAACCTCTTCAGTTTGTAATTTACCCATTACTATAGAGCAGAGATTGATGTGCATTTTTTGGTAAAACGGCCAGAGAGTAAATATTACAAGCTTTTAAGGCCTGGAGGCAAAATCAAGGATATTACATAGGAACCTATATAGCAAGAGAAAAAGCAAATGACCACAAATTTTTATCGACGAAATAAAAAATACTACCACCTCACATATTCCAAAAGAAAAATAAGTAATATAAAAATGATAATGGGAAAAAAAATGATAATGGAGTAAAAATTTTTTTGATCCACATCTAATTATGATAAAAATGGAATTCTTTATATGACGATAACATTTTGCTTACTTGGGGCTCAACGTTAGTGTTTCCTTATCATCAGTATTGATTTACAAAGATTTATCTATTAATGTTGATCTGTACTATTTTTTTTGTTCATGTAAAATAAATATGGCAAAGTACAGTCAAGGCCAATTTGGCCTTGTTTTACAAACTGTCCACCTCTCCAGCAGATACAAATGGTTAATCCTCCATCATGTTAGAAGAAGAGTGAAGCTCCATCTCTGAAGTGCTATAGCATATAAACTTTCTTCAAAGGAAATGAAGAAGAGCTAGGATGTAAAATGACATTTACCTTTATTAGATAAAGGTGACAGGAAGGCATCTTGCATTTGTGGTCCATGGGATGAAGCTGTGTCTGTCTCATGATGTGTGGGGCCAATGTTGCTGAGCCAGCTCTGACTTCGCTGGATGTTGGAGATGCCAGCATCCATCTCAAGGTTTAAAAATGGGTCAGCTGACTGAGACTTTAACAGCTGCTCTCCCACTGAAGAGTAGTCCAAGAACAAAAAATGGAGGAAGAAATTCAAAATGCACACACTAACATTTTCAATTGAACTCTTTTAGCTTCCTTCATCTGCCTACCCAATAAAGACAGTTCAAAGGCAATTACTGCCCTGAAGTGTATCGGCCACCCTAAAACTAGAGACATGTGACTGTAACACAATAGACTGGCCACACAATATTACCTAACAGTTACATCATCCTATCTCTTACTGGAGCTAGGCAAAACTTATATATTATGTTGATCTTCTAAGTGACTTGCTTTGGCTCTTAAGATGACATGCAGTTTCCAAATGCCAAAGTTAAAAGTTTCGGTTTTGATATTCATAAATAATAATTAGAACAGTCTTCATAAAAGATCTGAATTAAAAAACTTTAAATTTTTCTTTCACCAAAATATACACTTTCAGTTTGTCCTCTCCTAGTTTAGAAGGTGGCCTGTTTCCCTGGAATGAATTCTGTCAGCTTATTTTGAGGTCCTTGTCTATCTGGTTTCAGAACTCCTTCCCACAATAACATAAGCATGGTAGCTTTTATATTCAGCTAGTTTTCAACTTCTTTATAATCCAAGAATGACTAGATTCTTGAATTAGACATCAAGGTCACAAGATTTAGAGAAAAAGGTTTTACTTTATTTACACCCTTGGTCAAGCAGTGCACATTCCAACTGATGTACAAAAAGTTGGCTTTTATCCACTCCTAAGTTTGGAATAAAAATAATCCCTTGAATATCAACTAATAAAATGTCTAACTACATGGAGTAAAATACAATTCTCCTTGTACAAGTGACACAAAGTCTACATTACCAGTTCGATATTTTCCATTTTTGAAAGGAGAATTGATAGAAGAGGCTGGGATAATTGGAAGTGGCCACAGGAAATCTTTGTGGAGTCTCTTCAGGGCTATTACAAAGTTGTCTACCCGGGCAGCTCGGGTACGTTCCTTGCAAAGCCAACTAATTAGTTCAAAGCCCAGCTGAGCTGCAAAGCAGCCAAGGTCCTTTAACCTCACGTCTTCTAAGAGGCGCCGAGCATGTCTCCACAGCATCATGTCAATATACATGTTCTCAGCACAGTCACTGTCTTTGCTCCATCTGTAAGTGGAAACACAAGATTATTTCTCCAGAATAAGCTTTACTGGACTTATTATGCAGTAGTACTGATAAAGATGACAAGGAGACAAGCGATCCAAGAACCAATTCTAGTTGACAATGAAGATAAAGCATCAGGACTTCTCCTCCATGTGACACCACAACCCCTGGAACACAGTAGGCTTTTAAAACATTTGTAGAATGAATACAGGAATAGGAAAAAGGGGACAGAAGAAGTCAGACTGGGAAGCAAGTGATGAGTGGCTGATGGAAAGAAAGGGAACAAACCCATGCTGTATTTGAAAAGCCCAATGAGAAAAGGGAAGGAGAACACATCAAAGAAACTAAGGATAGACAGGCAAAATGAAATTAAATTTCTCAGTGTGAGTCATGCAGATATATGAAAAGAAAACCAATTTTATTTTTTCTTAAATGACAAGGTTTCACAGTGTCACCCAGTCTGCAGTGCAGTGATGTGATCATGGCTCACTGCAACCTGCAACTCCTGGGCTCAAGCTATGTTCCCTACCTAAGCCTCCCAAGTAGCTGGGACTACAGGTGCCTGCCACCATGCCTGGCTAATTTATTTTTATTTTTGTAGAGATGGGATCTTGCTATGGGGCCCAGGTTCATTTTGAACTCCTGGCCTCAAGCAATCCTCCCACGTTGGCCTCCCAAAGTGCTGGAATTACAGGTGTGAGCCACCTTGACAGTCCTAAAACCAACTTTTATAAATTACAACTTGACTATGTATAGTCTTCATCCCTGACTCACATGAGCTAATGTGGGGGAACTGGATTGGTAAATGGATAATGTGGTACTTTAAGTGAGAGGCAGTTTAGCGGTTAGGTAAAGAGCTTGGTCTCTAACGCAGGACTGCCTAGATTCAGATCTTGGCTCCGCCACTCATTTGTTTTGTGAACATAACTAAGTTTATTTTCCTAGGCCTCTGTTTCTTCACCTATGCAATGTGGATAACTCTCACAGTTATTTAAAGGACCTGGCCAGGCACAGTGGCTCAAGTCTGTAATCCCAGCACTCTGGGAGGCCAAGGTGGGCGGATCACCTGAGGTCAGGAGTTCAAGACCAGCCTGGCCAACATGAAACCCCGTCTCTACTAGAAATACAAAAAAAAATTAGCCAGGCGTCGTGGCAGGCACCTGTAATCTCAGCTACTCAGGAGGCTAAGGCAGGAGAATCACTTGAACCTGGGAGGCGGAGGTTGCAGTGAGCTGAGGTTGCACGAGTTCATCAGCCTGGGCAACAAGAGTAAAACTCCGTCTCAAAAAAAAA